TATTTGAGTATAGGAGGGCATATACTCCTAGGTGAGTTTGCTTCTTTTTGTTCTAAAGCTTTCTGGTGTGCTGTTAAGTGATGAGTGTGGGAGTTCTCCAGTTTCTTTAAGTGGGTACTTAACGCTACAAACTTCCTCTTTGCATTGCTTTCACAGAGTCCTATAAGTCTGAGTATGTTGTACATTTCATTGATTTCTAGGAAGTCTTTAATTTCTTTCTTTCTTCCTTGACCTAGGGGTGATACAAATGAGCATTGTTCAATCTCCATGAGATTTTAGGCTTTCTGCAATTTGTGTTGTTGTTGAATTCTAAGATACAGAGGGTTGTTCCAAATTTTTTGTATCTGTTGAAGTTTGCCAAATATGTGGTCAGTTTTAGAGAAGAGTCTATGGAGTGATAAGAAGTAGGTGTATTCTTTTCCTTTTGGATGGAATGTTCTACAGATATCTGTTAAACCTGGCTGAGTCATAACTTCTGTTAGTTCTTTTATTTCTCTGTTATGTTTCTGCCTGGAAATCCTGTTCAGTGATGAGAGTAGGGTGTTGAAGGCTCACATTATTAGTGTGGGGGGTTTTGTGTGTGATTTAAGTTTTAGTAATGTTTCTTTTACAAGTATGGGTGCCCTTTTATTTGGGGCAAAGATGATCAGAATTGAGACTTCATCCTGATGGATTTTTTTCCTGTGATGAACATGAAATGACCTTTTACAACTCTTTTGATTAATTTTAGTTAGAAGTCTAATTTGTTAGATATTAGGATAACTACACCACCTTGTTGCTTAGGTCCATTTGATTGGACAATCTTTTCCCAACGCTTTACTCTGAGATACTGTCTGTCTTTTGAAGTTAAGGTGTGTTTCTTTTATGAAGCAGAAGGATGGATTCTGTCTTCATGCCCATTCTGTGAACCTGTATCTTTTTATAGACAAATTGAGACCTTTGATATTAAGATACATTAGCAAGATGACCATTGATTGTTGATTCCTGGGATTTTTTTGATTTGGTGGTGGTGATAGTTTTGTGTATGCATTTTCCTTTGGGGGGAGGGGTTGGTATCTATTGTCTATGTTTTTGTGAGTGTAGCTAAATTCCTTGGGTTGGTGTTTTCCTTCCAGTACTTTCTGTATGACTGAATTTGTGTATATGCACTGTTTATATATGGTTTGTCATGGAATATCTTGTTTTCTTTGTCTATAGTGATTGAAAGCTTTTCTGGGTATAGTAGTCTGGGCTGGTGTTCGTGGTCTTTTAGTGTCTGTACACACATATCCAGTACCTATGACTTTCAGAGTTTCCATTGAAAAGCCAGACTTTTAATTTAAATTAGAAACAAGCTTATTTTACATGTCAACCCCAGTTCCCTTCCCTCCATTCCTCTCCTGCCCCCCACTGACCCTGATTCCATACCCTTTCTGCTCCCCAGCATGGGTGATGCCTTCCATGGGGATCTTCAAAGTCTGTCATATCATTTGGAGGAGGGTCTAGGCCCTCCCCTGGTGTCTAGGCCAAGAGAGTATCCCTCTATGTGGAATGGGCTCCCAAAGTCCATTCATATACTAGAGATAAATAGTGATTCACTACCAGAGGCCCCATAGATTGCTAGGCACCCACTTTCAGGTGTAATTCTTGAAGGTCTGCTATTATATGTTACTTGGCCTTTTTTGTTTGCAACTGTTAATGTTCTTTCTTTATTCTGTGTCTTTGGTGTTTTGATTATTATATGGTAAAGAAACTTTTTTTCTGGCCCAGTCTATTTGGTGTTCTGTAAGCTTCTTGTGCTTTCATAAGCATGTCCTTCTTTAAGTTGGGAAAGTTTTCTTCTTAGATTTGTTGTTTTCATGGTGTCCCAGATATCCTGGCTATTTTGTGTTAATAATTTGTTGGATTTGGCATTTTGGTCAGTGAATCTATTTCCTCTAATGTATCTTCAACACCTGAGATTCTCTCTTCTATCTCTTGTTTTCTGCTGGCTATGCTTGTATCTGTAGTTCCTGGTTGTTTACCCAGATTTCCCATTTCCAGCGTTCCCTCGGTTTATGTTTTCTTTATTGCCTCTACTTTAGCTTTCAAATCTTGAACTATTTGAACTGTTTCCTTCACCTGTTTGAATGTTTTTGTTTCTTGGCTTTCCTTGCTTTCTTTAAGGGATTTGTTGATTTCTTCTATTTTTGTTTGTCTTTTCTTCCATTTCTTTAAGGGGGGTTTCTCATTTCCTCTTTGAGGGCCTCTATCATCTTCACAGAGTTATTTTTACAGTCCTTTTCCTCTGCTTCATCGGCATTGGGATGTTCAGATCTTCCTGGTTTACCACCCCTAGTCTCTGCTGCTGTCATATTACCCTTCATGTGACTGAATGGATTCTTATGCTGTTGTCTACCCATGTCTTTCTCCAGTGGGTGCAGGTGGCGGCCTGTGATTCAGGCAGGTGTATCTTCCTCCAATTGGTGTTGGTGGGCTTTTGTGGTAGTTCTTTCTCTTCTAATGGAGAAGGGGCCAAGGCTTCAATTCTAGCAGATGCAGTGCTGGATAGTTTGGAGTGTGGGAGCCTGCCCCTATGTCTCTGGGGCTTTTGTGGACAGGGGTGGGTAGTGTTACATGCCCCAAGTGATTAGGGCCTAGGAGTTAGGGGAATCCAGCCAGGGGCGGTGGTGGTGGTGGGGAGGAAGGCACTTGCCATTCCCAGTGGGGGTGGGCTCAAATGTATGTATCTTACTCTAAGTATTTATGTGGTAAATCATGATAATCCAGCTAGATAATTCTATTCATGAAATAACTTGATTAAAAGTTAAAAGAATAAATTCTGAAATACTATAAAATAAATACTATAAAATAAATAGTAATTTTTTCAAGTTTTCATGTCTATTAAATTCTATTACATTTAAGGAATGATGAGTAGTTATAAATAGTAGAAACTTATGGCTCTATAACAATCTTTCACAGAAATTTTTAAAAATTTATTCTCCCAATTTACACACATAGAATGATGGTTATCTTCCTTTATGACACATAAGGAAAGAATTCCAGTGGAAGTTGACATCTATAGCCAAAGGATAAAATCGTCAACACACACATTTTGGAAGAAGAAAGGCACAGTGAAGGAATTTAAGGAAGAGTGCTTTCAGATGAAAAAAGTCCTGAATGGAATAGCATTAGCTCAGAGCATTGAGATGGATTTCAGTGGCATTTAAAACAAGGCAATAGACACCTGAGATTTTCAAGTGAACCTATGTATAGACTTCCCCAGACACGTGCTGGTTTTGGAGGCTCAATCAGTCTCTGAATTTTGGTGTGAAATTAATTATCTCTTGTAACTGTGTGTGAAGTCATATAGCAAGCAAGATTGAGCAACATCTCAAACTAGCACATTTCAGATTAACTGCTCTGTAAATTGTTTCTTAGATGATTGTCATATTTGCTCTTTCTTTTCACAAGTCTTGGAATTTTTAAAATGACCTTTGAATGGTTAAAATACTGTGGCATAGATTCAGTTGTTTCAACAAAAGGAAGTAGATGGAAGTCAAGACTGCTTACTCAAAAAACTTCTTTTAGTTTTAAAAATCCTAAGAATATTGATGGTCTTTAGACAACCACAGGACTTGCTAACTTCTTCAGTTAAAGGTAAAATAATTTTTTTTTGTTTTTTGTTTTTTTATTCTTTTTTTTTTAATTTTCAGTAGCTTGTTTTACATGTCAATCCCAGTTCCCTCTCCCTCCCCTCCTCCTGCACTCCCCTGCCCCCCCCACCCTCCCACCCTATTGCTAAATCCTTCCACATAGGGGATATCTAGAGTCTGTCATTTCACTCTGGTTAGGGTCCAGGCACTCCCCTAAGAGTCCAGGCTGAGAGAGCATCCCTCTTTGTGCTATAGGCACATGAAGACTGTTTGTATTCTAGGGATAGACACTGATCCACAGCTCAGGGCCCCATAGGTTGCCCAGGCCTTCTCGCTGACACTCACATTTGGGGGGTCCAGATCACTATTAAAATAATATTTAAAAGACTGAAAAACAATGTGTCCAGGTAAAGAATTAAAGGGAATGACATGGGATAGAAAACTGATTATTATCCATGAATTTTCCTCTAGAAAAAAAAAGAAACACACAGACATAGGATGATAAAAACCACACTATTGTGTAGCCTTTTGCACAAGATCCCACTGTTGCTGTTTTGTATGACTAAATTGACCAACCAGAGGTCCCTGAGATGACCTTTGGGAAAATAAACCCTATTCAACTTCTCAGGGTCTGGTTTCAGAATTAACTGATATCTTCAACATCCAAAATTTGTGTCATGTTGTTAGATTTTGAGTAGGAATCAGTCATACCAGGATACTGTATTAATTCCCAGTGGTCCATAGGAGGGCTTGAGCACTTTATTATGCTTATTTAAATTTTTATAATACCAATAACAATTCATAACAAGCAAATCAACACCTTGAACTCTTGGACTTGAAGCAAAAGACATCATCTTAGAAGACAATAGAGAACATTCTTCAGAATATTTGAATTTGATGTTTCCTACATAGTGATACTTTTTTTGTTCTACATTTGGTGATTTGCATCATAATTAACAGGACAAAGATGCATCTACTAATTCCAGTCCTTGTTACAAATCCCATACCTTATTAATTATGATTAGCTTAATGGAGTGACCAAAGTGACTCAGAAAAATACAGAAAGATAATATTTATAAGCAATGATAAGAGGAATTCAAGGGAGCATAAGGTTATGCATGGCTTTGGGAAAGGTACAACTTCATAACATTCAATCCACTGAAGTCCACACATGAATGTTACAGAGCAGAAATATTCATTGTTTTTGGCAAATTGCAATTAAAAACACTGGATTAATCTAAAAAAGCTTCTTTATAGGGTGAAACCCACACCATCTGAAATTAACCTTGCCTTGTGAGGATATCCAAGAACTGAGGGCAGTTCACTAATTTGGCAACAGTTCTTAAGAAAACAAAACTGGAAACAGCATTAAAAGAATGATTCCTTCTATTCCTTATAGCCCAAAGGTTGCATTGCTTGACTCAGCACCTTTTTCAGGGCTAGTTTCACTTCCTTGTTTCTCAAAGAATAAATCAGAGGATTCAAGGACGGGGTGACAACATTATTAAACACCTGGACAACAGAATCCAGCCAGGGACTGGAAGCAGGTCTGAGATAAACAAGAATCACAGGGCCATAGAACAATAGAATGGATGTCAGGTGGGCACTGCAGGTGGAGAAGGCTCTGCGCCTGCCTTCTGAGGAACGGATTTTCAAGATGGAGATGACAATACGAGTGTATGAAGTGAGAACAAGGAGAAAACACGTGAGTGCTACGATGCCAACATTGGTAAAACTCACAGTCTGTGCCAGAGATGTGTCTGCACATGCCAGGGACAACACTACAGGAATGTCACAGAAGAAACTGTTCACCTCATTGGGCCCACAGTAGGGTAACTTAAAGATAAGAAAGGTGAGGATGCTCCCATGAACAAAGCCCCCCAGCCAAGTGCCAACTGTGAGGAAGGTACACACCCTGCGGTTCATGATGACTGTGTATCTCATAGGGTGACAAATAGCCACAAAACGATCATAGGCCATCACTGTATACAGGAAACACTCAGTACACCCTAGGGTATGATAGAAAAAAATCTGTGAGGCACAGCCCTGGTATAAGATGGTGCAACTCCGTCCCACTAGGCAGTCCATCAGCTTAGGAGAATTCACAGACGGGAAGAATATGTCAAACACTGCCAGGTTCCCCAGGAAGAAATACATAGGGGTGTGGAGTTTAGGGGAAGCAAGGATGGTGAGGAAGATGAGCAGGTTTCCCAGCAAAGCAAAGACATAGAAAACCAGGAACAGGACAAAGAGCATGTTTTCTAATCCTTCACTATTAGAAATTCCCAGCAGGATGAATTCTGTCACAGAGGTGTAATTCCTCATGTTCATGACATAGGCAGACCTGGAGAAGTAAAGCAATGTTGTTCATGAGTAACTGAGAACAGCTTCCTGACCAAGGGTCTTCTATATAAGGCAGTGGTTGAAATCCAAAGAAAGCCAAGAGTGAAAACAGAAGCAGCAATGAATCTTATCTTGGCATTCAGTTAAGAGATGTGCCTCATTTGGTCTCTATTTCTCTCAGGTGGAGTAAAAGCATATAAATGGCAATGATTGATTCTTGCCACCAACCTGCTTTATTTTCTTCACTTCTGGTTAATAAGAAGAAGAAAGAAAAATCTGGCACATTTCAGGTTACACATTTTTCTAATGGAACCTGCGTTATCAGATGATGGCCTCATGTTGGATGAAAAGGCTATGCTTGAATTATACATAAGCCGATTGTCCCATTGTGTGCATTAAAAAAGGGAAAAGGGAAAAGAAATTCACTCTTCTTTTTAATGTTTGCTCCAAAAAGTATGTTTTCCACTCTTCACCAAACATAGAAGAATTACATGTTGTTTATACTGAGAAGTTACGAAACACACACAAACACACACACAGAGGCAGAATGTGGACTGGGTCCAGAAGTAGAATCTGTACAATGACAGAAATAATTCCTACAATCCCATGTTCTGTCTCCTCGGTGAAGTTTTATTTCTAATCTGAAAATCTCACAAATGTAAATTTCAATATCATAGTGCATCTTAGCATCATTAATTAGGATCCTAATCAGTAAATAATAATCCACAAAACTTCTCTTCTGTGTTGCACTTCCCCTAACCTTCCACATGTAACCAGCAGGTAATTTTGCTCTTCTGTAACTAATATTATTTTCACGGAAATAGTCTGATAAATCCATTCACACTTTTTAATATATTGAGGATGTGTGTTCTTTGGGCTTACCAAGGTACAATCCTTGCTGTGCTTACAAAGCATAATTAATACTAAGAATGAAGACAAAGAAAAAGAAGGTTTTAGATGATCATTGACCTTAGTGTAGGAACCAGGTCCTTCTGAATGTAGTCTTATTCATACTGTGTGATTAGAATAAAATTCCAGGGAAGAATAGACAGGAAGTAAAACATATCTGTTCTATCTATGTAGACATTGACTCTGTACTTTAGCAATCAATGCAATTTCACATACTTCCTAACAGCCTGCCAGAATTAAAAAGATAAACGGAAGCCCCATGCCTTAAGCACACAGAAATGTAAAAGAGGTTTCTGATCATTACCTTCCTCCACCAATATGGACCTCTGGGCCCTGAGAAAATTCCTGGATCAAAACCTCGCCTACTCTGAGGAAAATGGATGTTTTATGCCTCTTACAATTGTGAGGATTGAGTGAGATAAAACTATAATAAGGCTGTGATTTTTGCTGGTTTTTTAGTAGCAAAAACATTATGAAGTTATTCTAGCAAATGACCCTGAAGTAAGAATGATCATATAATAACAACTAAAGCCTTCCAGGAAGCATAAACACTTAATTTAAAACAGTTTGCAAAGAAGCTGTTAGACATTTTAATTATTCCATTTGTTTATATATTTATGTAACCACACATACTTATGGAGCCTGTGATTCAAGACCAAATAAGATACATTGATCTGGGAAACATTATATTCCTCTCACTTAAAAAAATGTGTTTTGTGGATAGGGTGCTGGCAGAGAACAGGAGAGGAGGTGAAGGAGAGGAAACTGGGATTGACATGTGAAACAAGCTTGTTTCTAATTTAAAGAAAAAATAATCATTAAAAAGTGTGTTTTACGAAGGAACACTTAGTAGGTTAAAAGTGCTCAGAAGTTCTCTTACTCATAGACTTCCTTGTGTAATTCAGAAATCAAATCCATAGTACAGACCTGCTCAGCTGTCTGGCCCTCACCTGCCCTAGGCAAAAGACAGAGTTCATAGCTGTTTTTATACATGTGTTCAGAATCCTTCTACCTGGTTTTGTGCATTCAGAATTCAATATCATATTTCATGTATGAACATCCTAAAAAAGGATATGATACCAGGAAAGCTATCTAGAATTGTGTCTTTCTTAACCAGGGAGACACCAAATTCCTACCATAGAAGGTTTCAGGTTAGAAGCTACATGGCTAACTTCCAACGAGTCAGAAGAAGGAATTACTTTTCTGAAAAGAGTGTGAAATTGGTTGTCGTTTCAAAAAGCAAATTGTAAAATTTCACACAAACACTTTTGAATACCCCAGTTTCACTTTCACTACATTCACTTATATTTAGGTATTAGTGATAAAATGTTGTGTGACAGAATAAACATGTTCCTGCTAAAAGAACTATAAATGGATGAAGTGAAGAAAGATAGCAATAGGGATAGATTGTGATGTAGCGATAATTTCCAGTATCTATGCTAAGTGAAAAAAAGGACCCTATCTCTCTGATGTTACTCATGTCCTCCCTAAGGCCTTCACACACACACACACACACACACACACACACTCATATACACGCACATACACACACATGCGTATACACACAATCTATACTTCTCCCTTTCATTGCTGTCTCATTGTTGATTTATTAATGGATCAATGAACTTAAACCTTTGTAATGGGCACCAGCTTTAGCATGGTGGCAGTTGAGGTAGGAAATTTTAAAAGATTAAAATAAAAGAAACTTTCTCTTTAGTTCTGTGACTCTGTGATTCTTCCCTTCTGTTTTACAAAGTAATCTGATCCACACAGAAGAATGGAAGACACAAGCAGTCAGAATGTTACACACATACCAGCAGTCAGGAAACACATCTAATGTGGACAGACAGATGTTTGTAAAGTCTCTAGTCAAAAGTTTCTAAAAAAAAGAGACTCTATTGTGCATAAAGTGTCCTGGCATAGAGACAAGATATTTTACCTTCTCTTCTTTAATCTATGATGTGTGTTGGACACTCAGTTCTGCTAATAATTTGACCTTGAAATAATGAATTTATAATGTTTTCAAACCAGATAGTGATCATGGAACTGGTATCTTTGGGGACAATATCCCCAGTGATCCAATCTGGATATTCAAAGGGAATAATTAAAGGCTCTAATCTCTTTCCTTGTGCCCTTCACCCTTTCTTAGTCCCTCCCTCATTAATATATACAACTATAGAAGTAACACGACAATTTGTATCTTACTTAGTAAATAAATAAAACTCAAGGGAAACTTCATTTTCTCTTTCTTACCAATTTTGAGCTTTAGTCATTTTCACAATCATCCCACCACAGTTCAAATGTATTCTTAAATATTATTCATTATATTGTATTTGTATGTAGTTTTTGTCCTTTGTTCAACCTAGTTATAATTCACTTTTTAAAAAGTACTTTAAAAATCGTCTCAATGCTATAACTTGCTTTTAGCACTCACATTTAATCTACACAGTACACAAATGTACTTCCACAACTATTTTCATCTTTTAGATATTTAGTTTTGTTTTATCTTTTTGAACATGATATCATATTTGCTAAAGTAAACAAATAGAAAACAGGAAGACAGATGAATACAGATGCATGTTTATGTACATGAAATATCTTCTCATTTCTATAAGAATGTATAAAAGATGCATTTGCCAAAATAGGAATTCTATAAAATTAATGAATACTACTGTTTGGATGACCACTATCAACCTACTTTGTTAGCACTTGTGCCTATGAGAGCAAATTTGACAACACATGGAGATTCCTCAGGAAAATGGGCATTAATCTACCACTAGACCCAGCAATTCCACTCTTAGGCATATATCCAAATGAGGCAAATTCATACAACAAGGGCATCTGCTCCACTATGTTCATAGCAGCATTATTTGTAATAGCCAGAACCTGGAAGCAACCTAGATGCCCCTCAACTGAAGAGTGGATAGAAAAAATGTGGTACATTTACACAATGGAGTATTACTCAGCAGAAAAAAACAATGGAATCTTGAAATTCGCAGGTAAATGTATAGCACTGGAAGAAACCATCCTGAGTGAGGTAACCTAGTCGCAAAAAGACAAACATGGTATGTACTCACTCATATATGGATGTTAGACACGGATCAGGATAGTGCTAGTCTGCACTTCCACTGATAGAGAGTCTGGGAAACAGGAAAGAACCTAAAAGATATGCATATATGCATAGTACCCAAGAGAAGAGGATTGAGACAAGATCCTCTGAATGGATGGGGAACACGGCGAGGGGTGGGGGGAGTGGGAGCTGGGAAGAAGAGAGGGGGTGAAGAGGAAGAGAGTTGGTCATGGGGGAACAGGAAGTTGAGTGGGTGGGGGTAGAATAAGGGGAAGAGGGAATCATAGGATAGAAGACAGATCAGGCACCAGAGTGACCTCGAGTGATCTAAAGGGATAACACCAATTGGCAAGCTAAGCAATAGTGGAGAGACCACCTCGAATGCCCATTCCTGATAATGAACTTGATGTCTATAACCATCCGGGAGCCTTCATCCTGTGACTGATGGAAGCAGAGGCAAACACACAATTAATCACTGAACTGAACCCAAGGAACCCAGTGACAGAGAGAGAGGAGTGATGAGCAAATTGGCAAAGAATGGGCTGGCAAAACCAGCAGAGACAGCTGATCTGAACAGGGGAGAGCTCTTGGACCCCAGAGCGACAGCGGGGAGGCCAGCATGGGACTGACCTGGACCCCCCCAAATGTGAGTGTCAGCGAGAAGGCCTGGGCAACCTATGGGGCCCTGAGCTGTGGATCAGTGTCTATCCCTGGAATACAAACAGTCATCGTGTGCCTATAGCACAAAGAGGGATGCTCTCTCAGCCTGGACTCTTAGGGGAGTACCTGGACCCTACCCAGAGTGAAATGACAGACTCTAGATATCCCCTATGTGGAAGGATTTGGCAATAGGGTGGGAGGGTGGGGGGGAAGGGGAGTGCGGGCGGAGGGGAGAGAGAGGGAACTGGGATTGACATGTAAAACAAGCTATTTAAAATTAAAATAAAAAATGATAAAAAAATTTATCTAAAAATGTTGAAAGGTTTTATAACAATTTGAAAACAGTGCATTTTAATATTCATTGTTAGAGACC